GCAGGATTCTCTGAGTGAGTCTGTGCAATCACTCCTGGTAAGTTGCTAAAAAAGAATAAAGTTCTTGAAACAAGACCACAAAGATAAGCTTTTATCTTTATCAGAGCCATCTAGGTCTTTGCTGCCTTATAAAGTGGGTTCTCAGCATGCAATGACAGGTCAAGATAAAGTAACACCAAGCTTTCTCGAGGCTTAGCCAATAGTTATACTATACTTTCTTGCCGGAAAGTATGGTTGCAAAGTCATCATTGGATGTTTAGTTGCTTTAAGAAACTATTGACCTCTTTTAGCCTTAGGATGAATATGTTGCAGACTGTCTTGCTTAGTCTTAGCTATTTACTGTAATAGACAATGCCCTGCTGTGTTTTAGGAAGGATGGTCTTTGTCATGGCAGTGTTACCTCAAAGGAGTGCACACAGGTTGTTTTATTTTGGGGGATGGGGTTTATTTATTTATTTAGTTAGTTAGTTAGTTAGCTAGCCAGCTAGCTAGTTAGTTGTTTATTTTGAGATAGATGTCCATGTACCATAGCCTGCCCTTGAACCGCCTGCCTGTACCTTCTGAATGCTACAATTCCAGGCTTGGACCACTATGCTACCATCCCAGGTTTTGTTACTGGGAGCTCCTCTCTTGCAGAACTTCACAGCTGTTCTGTGGGTAGTGTGGGTAGGTGGACTCTAGAAAACACATATCTGTAACACTCATTTGCTTGTTGCTGGTGCAGATATCCCAAGATTTGTTCTGCTGAAATAATTCCAGGTTGTCATGAGGGAAGAAGCTCTTTTGTGTTGGGTAGCATACCTCTGCTCTTAACCTTGTCCAGTCATTTCCTGTGTACTTTCAGCATACAAATAGACAAGTCGGCAAGTAAGGTTGATCTGTTTTCTTTCTCAGATGTCAAAGTCTCTCCCCTTAGGCCTCACTTGGCTCCAGAGCATACACATGTACAGCACATAAGGCTATAGTTTCAGAATTCTAGTTTATTTTGTAAACATGTTTTCAGACGAGAATTGCTCGTGTTTGTCATATTCCCATGGGTTGCATAAATCCTAGTTTGAGTTCCTATTTAAAAAATAAGTTAAAATGATTTTGTTGATTTAACAAAATTTTAAAACCAAAATTTAATATACAGCCTGAAAATTGCGGTTCTTGAAATGTCATAGAATCCTGCCCAGTGTTGGCAATGTTTCAGAAGCCCTGAAGGTTTTTTTAATTTATCAGGTACAAGGTGAACTGACAGCCTGGTGTCTTGGCCAGGACAAGAGCCTCCTGTCAACACTGGATCTGGTTCTTATGTTGACTAAAATCTGACTTGATGTTAAGTCTTGACCTGGCAGGTGGACCCTTTAGGTCGACTTCGGCTTTCTTCTTAGCTCACTCCCCACCTTAGTTTTTGAGGTAGGGTCTCTCACTGAAGCTGTTGCTGGCCATTTCAGTGAGACTGGTGGGCCAGTGAGCAGCACATAAGGCTGTAGTTTCAGAATTTTAGTTTGTTTTGTAAACATTGCTTACAGTGGCTCTACCTGTCTCTGTAGCCCATCTGTCAGTACTGGTTAGGACACACCCTGCTTTTTTTATATGGGTGCTAGTGATCCAAAGCCCTGTCCCCATGCTTATATTAAGCATTTTATTCACTGCACCCTTCCCTCAGTCCCTTGTCTCTCATTATTTGTTGTTATGCATTTTGTTCATATTTATCTATTCTTTGTGCGTGCATGTGCCCGTGTGTATGCCCGCCTGCATGAGTTGAGTTTATATGCACAGTGTGTGTGTGTAGATACCTAAGGAGGCCCAGAGCATAGGAGTCCCTGAAACTGAAATTACAGGAAGTTGTGAACCTCCTAATGTGGATGCTGAGAACTGAACTCAGGTACTATTCAAGAGTAGTAAGTGCTCTGAACCACTGAGTCTTCTCTCTTGTCATCATCTCCACGTCCCCCCCCCCTTTTTTTTTTAAGAGAAAGAAATCTCATGTTATTTCCCAGTAAGGTCTGCTGCTCACTTAGAAGTAGACTGTATTAGTTTTTCTTACTTGTGTGTTCACATTCAGTGTGGGAAGTGTGTAAACCAGATAGATGAAGAGACTTTGTGACTGACTGGTTAAGGAAGGAGTATCAAGGAGTATGTATTAGACACATTGGAATGTTCAGCAGTAGTTTAAAGAGCCATTGTTTTATTTAAATAATATATTTGGATACAAATATTTTCTGTTCATAAACCAAGCTTAGAGTTTTCCTTCCTGGGAGAAGAGGTACTTGTACTTTTGAATCTGTAAGTGGTAGAATGGTCTAGACTTAGGCCAGCCATCTCTACTGTCTGGACATTTTCTGTTCCAGGTAAAACACAAAATGAAAAGGATGTCTCTTAAAAGTAGGCTTGGCCTCTTCCCGTATACGAATCTGGCTACACTATTGTTCTTTCTCTGGTTGTATGGTTGTAGATTCATATGAAGGCCTTTTTCATGCTAGGCAAGTGCTTGACCAGCTCACTGCAAGCTTTTTAGGAACTTGAAACAATTTCAACTTCATTGTTTTGCAGTCTTCTTTTAAATGCTTTTTAGATAATGTAGACTGTAGATACCTTTTGACATCAAATGATAAATTTTGAGCAAAAGGGCCAGCCATTCAGTCAGTATTTAGGTTTTATTTTTTACTTCTTAGTACATGTATCAGTGATTTAAAATGACCATCAAAATAACTGTCCCATCTTCAGCCATATGCAGTAGCAGCAGGTGGGACACTAGAGCAGTACGTGCCATAAGAAATTCAGCCATGCCCAGGAAGTCACTTTAGGTTTTAACAGAGCAAAGGCGGTACATCAGAGAACTAATATCTTGGGCAGTATTTGGAACTCTGAGATTGCCTATTGCTGTCTGAGCAGCTCAGTAGGGTGGTACGTTACACCCAGAAACTGCTCATGGAGGCAAAGCTGCTAGGATGTTTGTTCTCTTCCTTGGAGGGTGGACTTAAAGCTTAGTAGATGTCTGGCAGTAGCATGAGGCAGGGGTCCCTGACTCTGACTGTGACTCTCCAGGCCTCCCTGGCCCACCTTCTTTGCTTTGAGTTAAATTCACAGCCTCAAAGACATAAAGAGATGCTTTGCTTTGTAACTGTAGTCTGCTAGTTGAATGAGGCTAATTATCAGGTAAGCAGCGATGTTAATTGCTAGCCCAGTCTAAATTTAGGGGGCATTACAGAGCTTTTCAAAACCTTTTCAAGTTACAGGCCTCATTTAAACTGCTGAAATGGAAATTCAGGTAGACTGCTCTTAACTCATGGAAGCTGAGGCCTCAAATCACAGCAACCGGAAAGGTCTGCCACTGAAATGTTACTGTCCCAGCAAAAACTGTTGTTCCTGTAGAAGTGTGGAATGCTTTAGGGTTTAGACTGAGTAGTCTGAGCAATCACCCCTGACTTTGCAGGAGAGACTCTGAAGTTGCCCCAGACTCAGTCACGTTTTTGTTTATGCCTGGCTCTTGTGCAGTGAGATGCATCTCAACTCCAGATCCATCTGCCCTGTTCATATCCTAGACATACTCAGGGCTAGAGTGTAACTGGTAACTGCTTTGCAGGAGCTGCATTAATCCTGCCTCTTTTGCCAGCCATGGGCCCTGATTGGAGTCTGAGTGTCTTAAAGAGGTAATTGTAATTAGTTCATGCGTCCGGTCTACCCTTTCAGCTCCAGCCACTGTGGGCCTTCGCTCCTCTCCGTACTGAATTGTGTGGGTCCCTCTACCTTTTATCTGGTCTTCCTGGCCATTTGTTTTGTTTGAATAATCATGAATTTAAAAAAGCCCAGCTTTTAGAATCAACTCTCAAGTGGGACAAGAGGCTTCAAACTGCCTACTGGTCCCCAGGTTTCTGTTTTCTTTCTTCTGTGTATGGTGAAGCTGGGAAAGCTGTCTAAGTGGGGTCCATGTTTTATCTCAGGGAGTTTGGAGAGTCAGCCACCTGACTGATTATATCTAGCTGGTTAGGAATGGAAACCAAGGCCTCAAAAAAAAAAGTGCCATTAGCATTTGTTTCTGGTACATACTGTTGTGTGCCATTTGTGTCAGGAAAGGTAGCATAATTGCTGACCCTAGGCTCCACCCCCGTGCTTAGTTCTCAGGCATCTTGGCAGAAATTGGGGTTTTCTGGGCCTTGTGAAAGGCAGTTTTTGCATAGCTCATTCAGCCTTGTTCAGGCTGTAACACATCACTGAACAAATTGCCTCCTTGCATATGCTAATCCAGCTCTTAAAAGAACTCTTTGTAATGCATTCTGCTTTAGCCTGAGGGGAGATAGGAATTGAAGGCCATCCAGGTCATGTCATGTGACCCCTAAATAGCTAAAATGCCTGTTTTCTCTGGGTCAACAGTTCATATTCGGCATATGCTGATGAAAATGTCCTGTGTGGTTTTTGGCAAAGATTAGTCCCCTTCTGTGAGCTGCTTTTGCTATTGAAGCTTCACAGCTGACTAACATTTCTTCATTGGATATTAGATTTCGGTATATTGGCTCACAATGCTAGATCTTATTTTCAACATTAAATTAAAAGAATTTAAATCCTTTATTGTTGTGTGGAAAAGGTGATTCACCATTAGGAACTAATATTACTCACACCTGCATCTTTGGTGCCTATTTAGAGCAGTACGTGGTGGCTTCCAGTCATAATATGTGCCTAATAGAATGATCTCAGGAGACTCTAAGGTTGTTCATATTCTTCACCGAGAAGTTACAGTGAAAAAGAATAAAAATACATCTACATACAATCAGCATGTGTCTCAACACTAAACAGAAGCACATTTTTAAAGAATAGGGCCTCAAGGATCCACCAGCGTGTAAACAGCATGATGTAAAATCTGGTTTCTTTTAAGCTCTGTCTAAACGCTTGCCACTGGAGTCTTAAGACACATGACCAAACAGGGGTGCCAGGGGATCCTTTCTTCCAGGTTGGGTTTTTCAGTCATACAAAGAGGCCTAGGAAGAAACCTTTATTAGTACTTTTTTGTCTTACAGAGTAATTCCCTCTTGGTCCCAGACAGCCTAAGAGGCACAGATAAACGCAGAAATGGTCCAGAGTTTTCCAGTGACATCAAAAAAAGGAAGGTGGATGATAAGGATAACTATGTAAGTGAGTAAAGGACTTTCATAGTATTGTTGAATTACTGCTTGCCCCATGATTGAGTTTCCAGGTATCCTGAGAGAGTATGATGGTTCTGTTCTCTTTATTGCAAATCAGGTAAGTTCAAACATCGGAGGACATTGCTTCCCTCCAGGCCTGTGTGGGTTATACACTTCATTTGGGCTTAGATTTTTGTCTAACTTAGCTACTCACAAAGGAACGTGAAAGTATCAGGTTAGTCATATAGGGCTATATAGCACCAGTACCTAGAGGCTGAAGCACAAGGATTGCATTGTTATAGCCAAATTGGTCAACACAGTGAGACCTTGTATCCAAAAAAATATAAATAAAACAAATGCCTTTAAAGATAGCTCTGTGACAGAATACTTTCCTAACATATGCCAGGCCTTGGGTTTGATCCCTAAGACAGTAAAATGCACGCACTGTAGGTTTTTGAGGAAGAACTCTATTCTGTATTGGGAAAGTTTAGACATGACTTGTGTTTCCTGTGGCTTACCCAAGGTTTCAGCTAATAATAACATTTTGTGTGCGAGGCTTAGTGCCAGGAGCCCTGTGCACTGACACAGATTAATCTATTTAGTTCTTATTATAACTTGCCAAGTTGGGTAGCATTAAATGTTAGCAATCAAGAAGGTGGTCTGTGATGTTCAAAAGGTGGAAATTTGCTGATACCCAGTTTTGTGTTATTAGCTAGCTCCTCCATGAGGCTTGTGTATTTAATTCAACAACAAGGGACCTGGAGTCAATATCTTGGCCCTATGGTTTTATAGTACTTATGTATGGTCTGGTTAGATAAATAGGTTTGGGCTGAGATAATGAGATTATGTTGGAACATGTGAGAGGCAAAGCCTAAGACCAGAACTGTTTGATAAAAGTTTACTGTGTTGTACTGGCTTATATTTTCAGAATGGTCCTTTACAAAGCTATGTTTCACGTGTAGAAGACATGGATGATTCACCTCATAGCCCTTTAGTGGTATAAGAGGGTATTGAAACTGAGGATCTACATGATGATTAGATAGGATGAAGACTTAGGTAGAAGGAAGACCATGTTATATAGCAGAGTAAGGGGATTTTAGTTTATCACACTTGTTACACATTTATGAAGAAGTATAAGACAGGAGTTTGAGATCCCAAGCAGAAGTGATAAAAAGATGGGAATAGTAATTATCCTACTTTGATCATTATAATACTATATAGGTGTACCTCAGAGGACATTCGTATTCAAAACACCATGCTAAGACTTTGAAAGACTCCCCTAGTGACATACTTTGTCCAGTGAAGCCCAACTTACCAAACATAGCGACCAGCTAGCAGCCAAGTATTCAGAAACCTGAGCCTACAGAGGACATTTGTATTCAAAACACCACGCTAAGAATATAGAATTTTTCAAACTTTGATGTGGGAGTGAACTCATAAGTGGAGCAGCGTTTCATAATGCTTTCCAGACTGAATGTAACGTTGGAATTTGCTGTGATTAGCCAGCTTTGTAGGTCAGTGAAAAGACAGTGAAGACCCTATGCTGGATGGCAGTGTCCTCCAGCTGCCTCCATCTGGTTTCCTTCCATTTCTCCTTATCTCATGCTCAAGAGCCTCTTTTAAACCCCCATTGTGTGTAGTGTGTCTGAATGTACATGTGGGTGCTTGAAGTTGACGTTGTGTGCCTTTAAGAGTTCTCTACTAGTATTTTTTATTTTATTGAGTCAGAGTCTTGCCAGTTCCTCAGGTCCCACTACCTGGAATGCCCAGGGATCCCTCGGCTCTGCTTCCTGAGTGATGGGATTTTACAGGTGGCCTCTAAGCCTGTGTGGTATTTCTCTGTGGGTTCTGGGGATCTGACCTCCAATCCTTCCACACCGCAAGTACTTTAGCCAATGACTTAAATACTTCATCCACCCCACTACCCCATTTTTTTTCTTTCTCCATCCCTCCACACCCTCCCCCCAGGCAGATCTCTTACATAATAGCCAGGATGATTTCAAAATTCACTTTGTAGCCACGTATGGCCTTGAACTAAACCTTTATGACTTGAATACTAGTGTGTAACACTACACCTGATATTGTACAGTTCTGTGGATCAAATTCAGGATTTTGTCAATAGTAGGCACATTATGTATGAACTGGACTGTATCAGCAGTCCCCAAAAGTTTATTCTTTACTTGAGAATTAGATCTTTTGTTTTCTATTATAACTAATGAACTCATGGGACGATGGTAGAACTAAACTTATCTTATGAATTGTTTCTGAGGCCCTATTGGCTAGCTGTGCATCTTCAAGGTAATATGTATAAAAGATATGATATGTTGTTGTTCTTTACTTTGAAATCCAGTGGACTAAGAATTCAGAATCTGGAAAAGATACTACCATTGCAGACATCAAGCCCTTAGAGTGTACTTCTCATAAGGAAATTTAGATTAGCTTACTGGTTTTCACTGCCACAGTATTCATGCTGGAGCTTTGTAAACCCCAGGCTAGAAAAAGAAGGCAAATGCCTATAGATTGTAAGGGAGCTTGCAAGGATATTCTTAGTGTTTAACTTGTCTGCTACCAAGAACTATTGAAAGAAATTGAACTCTTCAAAACTTAATTTTAGCCTTTACTAAACAAAATTAATTTTTTTCCAGGACAGTGATGGGGACAAGAGTGATGACAACTTAGTTGTGGATGTGTCTAATGAGGTAACCAAGCTTTTCATCGAGGTTTCTCTCTTGAATAGTTATGAGAAAAATCTACTTGTAAGTGAATGAAGTTGAATCATAGTGTCTAGTGTCTCATACCTTCACATACCAAGAATTTGGGGGTAGCCATAACCTGATTGAAACTATAATTTCCCTTTCAAAAAATGAGATTTGAGACCAGGTGGTGCCGGTGCAGGGCTGGGCAGTGGTGGCACACACCTTTAATCCCAGCACTCGGGAGGCAGAGGCAAGCAGATATCTGTGAGTCAAGACCAGCCTGGTCTACAACAACTAGATCCAGGACAGGCTTCAAAGCTACACAGAGAAACCCTGTCTTGAAAAGCCAACATAGCTACATAAATAAACAAAATTAAAAATGAGATTTACAGATGTAGGTCAAGTAAAGAGTGTTTGCCTACCATTGGAACAGATAGACCTGCTTTTGATGTCCAGAGCCACCAGAAAGAAAAACTTTCCTAAGTCATTTTTAATGTCTGTGTTGGATGTCTGAAGATGGATGCACCTGGGTACTGGAAGGGATGTGGTTGTTTTTCTTCTGTTATGGCCCTGAGTGTGTTATAAATACCATTTTGCTCATTTAGAGAGCATGGCATTCCCCCTCAGATCTAAAAGATTTCAGTATTATCCTTTAATTGAAGGTATGGAAAAGTATGTCCATTCTGAACTAAAACATGTCAACTTCTTATTGTGTGTTGAGGACCCTTCTTCTCCTCATGCAAGTCCCACACATTCACCCCGGGAAAACGGAATTGACAAAAACCGCCTGCTGAAAAAAGATGCTTCAGGCAGCCCGGCATCCACAGCCTCCTCTGGAAGCTCCTCTTCCCTGAAATCCAAAGAAGTGAGCCTGGTAGGTAGGACCTGGTAGTCCCCTGAGCAACTCTGCTGACTGTGGAATGTGGAACACTGCAGTGTGAACTTGGGCTCTGCTGCTTAAAGGCTGTGTGTTCACTGAAACACTTTCTGTCCTCTTCACTGTTCTCAGCTGTGTCTTGGGGCCAAGGTTCCAGTGGCTGCTGTGTAGGCTTCTCTGTGCATTGTTTTCTTCCTTAGATGCGCTTATGACTGCTCTGTGAAACTTAACTGTCGGCAGCAGATGATTGTCTAAGGACTGGTTCTGTACCTGTGGGCCTCGACCCCTTTGGGGGTTCAAATGACCCTCTCACAGGAGTTACATATCAGATATTCTGTATGTCAGATATCTACGTTATGATTCATAACAGTAGCAAAATTATGGTTAGGAAGTAGCAATGAGAGTAATTTTATGGTTGGAGGGTCACAGCATTAGGAAAGTTGAGAAACTCCATCTTAAGGTATCTTTATTTTGTTAAGCTACTATTTACTGGGAAACTTAGCCATTGTGCCAGGGCATGTCACATTGGAGTTGGTGTGTACACTGGAGGCTTGGGATATGTTATAGTTTGAATGCATCAAAGCCTATTCATGTGGTCATTTGTTGACTTAGCAAACTTTGTAAATTGAGGATGGTAAAACATGCCTTCAGTGCTGGTGCTTAAGAGGATATGGCAGGAAGGAAGCTCTTGAGGTGGGAGTCAAGTCTGTGCTGCATTCTGAAACTACCTCAAAGTTAATCCTTACACGGTGGCCTCGGTGTTACCCCTTTACCCAAGTACAATAAAGCCAAGCCTGAGTGACTTGTTGAGAGCATTCTATCAAATCCTAGGCCAGAGCTGGGGTCTTTGGTTTTCTCTTTTCTCCACCTCGTAGTTCTTGAACTGTGTTTGAGCGACACAAGGAGTCTTGAGAGATAAAAGGAGAAACTCTTATTATCCTGTTACTGTCTCAAATTATAGAGGTCTCTGGCAAGTGATGAGTCTTCTGTCAGTACTGGTGAGTCTCATTGGCTTAGTAGTCACGTGGGTGACTGCACCTCTCCACAGAGCACTCTTTCTAGGCCTTTGTTTAAGCGTGTGGGATAGGTGCTTCGAGAACTTTTATGTTGGAAATGCTGGTTTGACTTTGAAGCAATTGACAGTTCTACTGTGTATCACTGTCAGTCTGAATCCCCAAAAGTTAAGGCTGGGGCAAAGGTTCCACTTCAGATTTGGAAGCCCAGATACGCCCTTCCAAGTGGCTTGGAAAGACTCTCTGTGGTCATCACTCTAACATGGCATAGAGCCCAGGTGCACAAGCTTGATGGGAAATCCTTTTCAAAATCACATTTGTGGAGGAAGAAGTGTGATCATGCTCAAGTTTTAATCTGGCAGGAAGAAGAAAGGTCAACATTTCTCTCTCACAAGTTAATGCTGTCAACATTGTGTGGATTTATGAAAATTGGCTGGGGAGTAACTCGAAGGTGCCCAGTGTCCCAGCTGCTATTGTGATAAATTGTGTAATGTGGCTTGGATTAAAAATAATACTCATTTAATTTGTTTAATGATACCAGCATGAAAAAGCCAACACGCCTATTCTGAAATCCAGCACACCAACGCCTCGGAGCGACATGCCAACCCCGGGCACCAGTGCTACTCCAGGCCTCCGTCCAGGTCTCGGCAAGCCTCCAGCCATGGAGCCCCTTGTCAACCAAGCAGGTCAGCACCCCTTTCTCCGGCTGTGCTTTGTTTCTCCCATCCCCAGCTTGATGTGGTGTCTGCTAGTCCCGTGACAGTTTGCCCCTGAGTGTGAGGCACTTAGAGCTGTCCTCCTCCTGTCTCTGAAAAGGCGTGGTAACAAGCATATTTGTCCTGGATTTCAGCAGCTGCACCAGTTAGTCTCCATGCAACTTTTCCTTTATTTCAAGATAATTCACATCCTGGGGATTACCATAAAGTTTCTGGTAATTATTTCATTGACCAAAATGGCTGGCTAACTTCATAGCCAAAGCGTATATTTTGCTACCTGTAGTTGCTTGTTTATTGGTTTGGTTGCTACATTTTCAGGAATCAGTGGTCCTTTGCTGAAAGTTGGGAGGGTTTTGCCAATACTATAGTCCATGAGGTCACTCATAGCTTTGAATTTGATCTTCCTCACTGGACAAGTTAAAAAGTAACAGTTCAAGTCCAGGGAGAAATAGCACCAGAATGTCCCTCCTAAAGCCCTACTCTGGTTTGCATAAATCCAGGATTTGGTTTTCATTTGGAATTGGTACCAGGGAGTGGAAAGTTCGGACTGAAGGAGAAATCTTGGATTTTATCCAGAAAATCTTCTTTTGAGATTAAGTCAGGTAAACATGAAGTATCTGCCTTGGCTTGCCCTTTGTGAATTGGGTGCAAAGATGTTGATTAATACTCCTGGCTTCCTGGTGTGGCTGCTTTGCCAATGAGGAAATATGGGGGCTGTGCTTTCTGTCCTGCAGGCGAATTCAGCTCTGGGAAGGAGTGGAACTTGTGTATAGGTTGGGGCTGATGATCCCCATCCCCTCAGCATCATAACTAATGACTGGAATCACTGGTTAGGTTTGACCTAATGGTCAGTCTCATCACACATGGCATGTTTCCTTGCAGCAGCTGGCCTGAGGACGCCCCTGGCAGTGCCTGGCCCATATCCTGCCCCCTTTGGCATGGTACCCCATGCTGGCATGAATGGAGAGCTGACCAGCCCTGGTGCTGCCTATGCAGGTCTACACAGCATGTCTCCACAGATGAGTGCTGCAGCTGCTGCAGCTGCTGCAGCAGTGGTTGCCTATGGGCGTTCCCCAATGGTAGGTCATGTGCTTGGGTGTCCCCCAGGGAGTGGGCAGTCCAGAGAATACAGGACACAAAGTGTGAGACTGGGGCATTGGGCTTCTGGGTATGCAGACCTGGATGAAAGGCATTCAGTTCCGTCCTGGGTGTTTGGGTCTACAATGCATGCCCTCACTGCCCTGAAGGGGGGGAGGAGGAGGAGGAGGAGGAGGAGGAGGAGGAGGAGGAGGAGGAGGAGGAGGAGGAGGAGGAGGAGGAGGAGGAGGAGGAGGAGGAGGAGGAGGAGGAGGAGGAGGAGGGGAGGGGGGGGGGGGAGGAGGAGGAGGAGGAGGAGGAGGAGGAGGAGGAGGAGGAGGAGGAGGAGGAGGAGGAGGAGGAGGAGGAGGAGGAGGAGGAGGAGGATTTACCTTCCTCTTGTCAGCCTTGGTCAGTATGCCGGTTCATTAAACTAGGGCAAATGCCTTTTGTTTCATTGTGTCTGTAGATGAAAAAGGCAGTGTTTAGAGGTTCCTTGAATGGTTCCAGGATAGATAAGGCTTTCTCTCACCAAAGTAAAAATTTTAATCTGAAAGTATTGAAATGACTTTAGTGTTTTTTTAAAAATGTTTTCTCTTTTTCTAAATCTTAAGAAAAACATGCTTTTTCTTTTCATGCCTGTATGTTCTTTAAAAGTGAATGCTCTGTCTTATGTAAAAATGTTATTTGCTTATGATATGGACAGATTTTAAAATCATACAGCCAGGTTATTCATGTTGCCCTACCTTCAAATGGCCCAGTTTTTTTGTTTTTTTCCTAAAAGATAAAGAATTCTATTTGAAGGATAAAATTGCACCAGGAAAGGAAGTAAAATAAATCTCAGAGAAAATCTTTCCTGTAAGCCATTTGAAATATATCTTTAACAGGACTTCCCCCATCATCATGGACAGTATTTTTTTTCTTTACCTCAGCTGGATTGCCCCTTATAATTTCATGTGATAAGTAGCTAATTGTTTTTATGGCACACAAACAGAGCTGGCATGTGATTCTGCAAATACTGACCTCGATGACCGAGTGGCTTGCAGCAGTTGTGGCTAGCTCAGCGAAGGCATACGGGGTGGGGGAGAAGCTCCTAGAATGTGAGGATAGCAGCCTGTTTTGCTGTGCAACATTCCAAGGTACTCTGTACTTTCCCCAAAGAAGAAAAGAACAAAGTAGCCCATGATGTTAGTGCTAGGCTGGTCAGTATCCTCCTGCACGTTATTGAAGAGGTAGGACATCCAGCATCTATGGGAAATGTTTATCCTAGAAAACTGGTATCCAGAGTATACAAATCCTCCTCCGCTTCACAGAAAGAAAGTATGTTTTGTGGTGTTTAGAGGTGGTTAAGTTACCACACTGTACCTTTTCTTTTGAGACACACCAGCATTGCTGCAGTAGCCACTCCCATTGCCTCGAGGGTGAATGGATTTCTTATATGAACTCAATGTCTACAGAGTGTCCACCTTGCATAAGCTGAGTCGGCCCCACTTTTATTTCCAGGTTGGTTTTGATCCTCCTCCCCACATGAGAGTACCTTCTATCCCCCCCAACCTGGCAGGAATACCTGGGGGGAAACCGTAAGTACATCTGTTCCTTGGTTTTGATTTATTTTAGAGGTGGTAGTGTCAGTAGTCTGGAATTCCCAAGGCAAGATAGGCTTGGATGTTTCCAAGGAGACTTCTGAGGAGTGTTAACACTTTTCTATAAATAGACAACTTGTAGGTGTCATGCCTCTGACTTCTCCCTGCGTGTGAGCTCCTGAGCTCATGTATTTAGTTGTTTTTGAAGAGAAACTATAGAAGATGAAGATAGATAGGAAGAGAGAGCTGTAGGTGTTAGACCCTCCTGCCTGGTCCTTGTGTAGAAAGCTGCTGCTTTGATCTGTGGTTGGAAGGCAGTTGCCACATTTTCACTGGTACAGGTAAGCGGTCAGGAACTCTCAAACTCTTAGAGGCATGTCCTCTTTACCCAGGACAGTGCAACCTTTTCCTTATTTTGGTAGAAGTAAGTAATTAGATTGTTCAGTCCTATGGGCACCCATGTCCCAGATTGGATAGGTGCTTTTCTTTGCCTTATAACACTTCTCAAAAGCATTGTTTTCTTATGGGAAACAAGGAACTTAAAGGATCCAAAAGTATCCAAAATGTGGAAACACCCTGTTGTTTATTCTGACTCTCCAAACAAGTAAAAAATCACCCCCTTTCAGTTATTAGAAGTATAATTTTAAGGTATTACTAATTTTTTTCAAGTTTTGTACAGTGCAGAATTGAAATGTGAAGTTCGATCTCTCTCTCTCTCTCTTTCTCTCTCTCTGTGTGTGTGTGTGTGTGTGTGTGTGTGTGTGTGTGTGTGTGTGTGTGTGTGTGTGTGTGTGTGTGTGTGTGTCGGGGGTGGGGCTGGGGGCGTTATGAAATGCTGACTTTCCAAATAAGAGATTCTAAAGGCCTCAGGCCTTTGCTTAGTCTTTGCTCCAGCCCTTGCCCTCAGGGCTTGCCTGTACCTTTTAATCTATGCATCCTGAGATAGTTCTAGGAAAGGCTCCAAAGCTACATACACAGAGAAACCCTGTCGAAAAAACACAAAAACAAAATAAAAAAAGATTGTTTTTGTGTGCACATAGTTATAGGTAACCTGTGCACCTAAGTAGGCACACATATGCATGGTTTGAAGCAAAAGATAGTAATAGTCTAATTGGCACTGCTAAGTCCTTCCTTGGCTTGTGAGTACCTTGTATTTCTTCGTGTTCAAAGATGTGCTAGCACCAGGCATAGTGGTACATGCTATAGACCTAGCACTTAGGAGGCAGAGTTTGGAGGATTGTTACTTTGAGGAAGTCCTGGTCTATCTAACACAGTCCCGTTTCAGCTACAACAACAACAAAAAGCTTAATTCATGATTATAATGTCCTGAGGAACAATGGGTGTAGTTGCAGATTGTTAAGGATTAAAGTGTTGATTGGTATCTGGATCTGAGTTGAGTATCTGTTTTATGAGTTGAGCAACATTATATAAGGAATACAGGATTAATTAATAGTAAGAAGTCAGGGAACTTGCTCCATTGCTGGGATCTGGTTATATAGTCTTACTGATTGCTAATCTTAATCCATTAGTTTGCATGAGAGAATGTGTTATCTGTTATTACTTAATCATTCTTGCTTCAGTGCCTCTCAGAGATTTATAGTGACAGATTTAGCCAAAGAGTGGTATTATTGAGACAGGATAAAGTTAATTTGGGGAAAAGACACAAATCTAAGTACTATTTGTTACAAGAGTCAGCAGTCATGAAATGATTGTCAACTGTGTAAAGCTCTTAGTGACTGTGCTCATTTGTGACAGACAGTAGCAAATGTTTACAGACCACACTGAGTAGAACTGATCTGAGGCACTTAAAAGAAATAGAGACAAATTAACATGTCTTGGGTAGGGAGAGCAAAGTATAAAGGTTACGCAAATAAGTCTGAGAAGGAGCAGCTGAGGGAGTGTTTGGATAGGCCTGTGAGAGGTGGGATCTATGGCCTCACGGTGTACCATGTGTGTGCAGACAAAAGACTACAGAAAGTGGGCTCTCCCTGTATTACCTACCTTGAGGGCCTGGTAGTGTGGCCATCAAAAGAATAACTACGAATGACAATTCCACATGTGTTAAGTTATATAGAGGCAGAGCAGCAGATGACAGGCAAATACATACACATGTAAACAAAACTGAGATGAGAGAGATGTCTTTAGGATGAGACACAGACATGAAGCTAAAACATATGTGGGAAGCAAGGACTAGGTCAGCTGGGATCCAGGGATCGTGACAGCCAGATCATGTAGAGGACAGGAGGTACAGGACAGTGCACATGGATGCGTGCTGCCAGAGACCAGCCTGCAGGTTCAGCTGGGCTGAGGGGACAATTGTTTATGTCTGTATCAAGTTGATTATGATAGCCTCTCCATGTGGCAGCGTGCCTCAGAACCAGATGTGTCCAAGGACAGGAAGCTTGGGAATGTGAAACTCTTCAGGCCCTCAAACTGCAGTTTAACTCTTCTGAGCATTGTCATTCGTACTCCCAGAGGCCACACTGTGCTGCTTGCTAATCTGTCGTTCTCTTGATGTTCATAAACTCTTGTTGCAACTTGCTTTAGTGTTTTCTTATAGGGTACAGTTTGAGTTCCCTACATCTGCTCGTTAAGTTTCTAGGCTCTGCCATTTCTTTCTCTGCACCTCCCTGGCTGGTAGGGACTCAGGTGGAACCTCACAGCCCAGGAAGTATGTCACTGGGAGGAGACATTTGTCCTCGACCCTTTCAGAGCCTCATCATGGTCTTAGGTCAGTGGTTCTTAACTTTCCTAATACTATGACCCTTTAATATCTATCCTCATGTTGTGATGACCCCCAACCATAAAATTGTTTTCATTACTACTTCATAACTGTAATTTTGCTACTGTTATTAATTATAATAAGTAGCTGTGCTTTCCATTAGTCATGGGTGACCCCTGAGAAAGGTTCATTTGGCCCCCGAAGGGGTCATAACCCACATATTGAGACCACTGTCTTAGGGACTAAACTGACAAAATACCACATAAATTGTATTAAGTTTTTATATATTCTTGAGATTCCTCGAAAGAAAATAAAGTTGCAAAGAAGTATCACAGCAGTATCTTTGTACAGAAAGAGTTTAGATTCGAGGCAGGCAGTTGTAGTGGTTGTGAGATATTGGGAAATTAATTGAAGAGAAGGGTTATTTTGATCTATTTCAGGATTAATTCCTGAGCCAAAAGATGGGAAGTTTTAGGACTTGATTTTCTGAGAGATGAGACAGTCCCTCAAGCTGACATGCCAAAGAAGCCATTATTTATTTGGTATCCTAGTTTGCCTGCCATTGCTGTGGCAAACACTACAACCAAAAGCGGTTTGGGGAGGAAAGAGGAAAGGGTTTATTGGACTTACACTTCCAAGTAAACATCGTATCACTGAGGAGAATCAGGGCGCGAACTGAAGGAGAAATGATGCAGGGATGCTGCTTACTTGCTTGCTCCTGGGTGCATTTTCAGCTGTCTTTCGTTCACCTCCCAGGACCACCTCCCAAGGATGATGTGAATTGGGCGGTGCTTATGTTGGGCAATGGTGGGATGCTTACCCAAACCATAGCTGTGGTGAATTGTTTTCACCCATCAGATAATCCTTCAGGTGCCATGCTCCTGTGTTTTCACAGACATTCCTGTTCTGGTAGCCCTTTGTCTGTGACATACAGGTTAACGTTGGATTATAGTCATGTGCTCAAGTCCTGTTTCTGTTGTCCTCCTCCTAGTAGAATTACAGTTCCCAAAAGTTCCTTATATCTTGAGCAAATATATGTAGTAAACATATATATTCATTCAGTAATCCTAGATGAGCCTAGCATGTTGTAAGATCCCCTTGATCCATCCTTTTTGAAGGGAGATGAATGGTTTTTGCATTTCACTGTTAGAATTGGTTTGTAAGAGGAAATATTAATTTTTGTTTAGTTGCTTTGTAAGAAAAAAAATCCTCATTTAAAACAAGATGTGATTAGTAAGTCAGTGTACTGTGAATGTGTTCCTAGTTTTAGAAGGTCTACAAGGGTCCGTGACAGAGAAATTTAAAGTGCGGTTTGTTTTTTCCTGTAACACTTCTCCCTATAAGTAAATCTGTACCCCCACCTCCATGATAGTACCTTTGAGGTGGTCGTCACTCAGACGGATGACGGTTTGGCTTTAGATTGTAGGGTAGTTAAGATCTTTCACCATTTGTTTGAAGGCCACGATCATAATTCTGAAGTATTTTGCCCACTTGTTTAGAACTTAAATTGGACTATTTTAAAAGTGTATCTTTGGGTATAGAGCCTAAAAGAAAAGAAAATCCTGCCATTGGAGAAATTACCTTTTAGGAAGTAACTATGTTTTATAGTAGCTTGCAACCAAGAAGGGATTCAGTGCCAGCAGCTTCCATCCCGTCTCCCTCCTGCCCTCTCTGCTGACTCGTTCAGTGGATTTAAAAACTTAGTTCTCTTCAAACATAGTATGGTAGTGTTAGGGTTCTTCAGAGAAACAGAACTAATATATGATAGGCAGCAAGGAAACTTATGAGAAAGAAATGACCCCCATGATTATGAAAACTGAGAGACCCCATGGTCTATCATGAGTAAGCTGGAACCCTGAGAAAGCTGACGATGCAGTTCTGAGTCTGAGGCAGGGGAACAGGAGAGATGGAGATGGGGGGGTGGATAGCCTTTTTAGTCCAAGCATGCTGGGTGCTGGTGACATGACAGCCTAAGCAGAGAGTGAGTTAACCCTTTCTTTTTGGCTCTTCAGTGACCTGGATAATGCCCACCAAGTGTTGCCTGCCTACATTGTTGAGGGTACATCATGTTATTCTGTCTACCAATGAGATGCTAATCTCAGAACCAACTCCCAGACACAGCTAGAATATTTACAGCCATCTGGGCATTTCCTAGCCTGGGCAGGTTGACACATAAAATTAACCACCACAGTGATATTTGAAGTCTCTTGCCTGCTAAAAACTGTCTATTCAGTGTTTTTGCTTTTGCTGTGTGTGCTTTCTGGTTTCTTCAGTT